CCGGAGGGGGATCCGCTCCGGGATTTCCGCTCCGGGATCCCAGATTTCTACTCCTGGATCCCAGATTTCCCTTGCTGGATCCCAGTTTTCCACTCCTGGATCCCAGATTTCCACTCCTGGATCCCGGATTTCCCTTGCTGGATCCCAGATTTCCACTCCTGGATCCCGGATTTCCCTTGCTGGATCCCAGATTTCCGCTCCGGGATCCCGGATTTCTGCCCCCGGATCCCGGAGTTCCGTTCCAGGATCCCAGATTTCCACTCCTGGATCCCGGATTTCCCTTGCTGGATCCTGGTTTTCTGCCCCCGGATCCCGGATTTCTGCTCCGGGATCCCGGATTTCCCTTGCTGGATCCTGGTTTCCTGCCCCTGGATCCCGATTTTCTGTGCCCAGATCCCGGATTTCCACTCCTGGATCCCGGATTTCCCTTGCTGGATCCCGGATTTCCGCTCCTGGATCCCGGATTTCCCTTGCTGGATCCCGGTTTTCTGCCCCCGGATCCCGGATTTCCACTCCTGGATCTCAGATTTCCGCTCCTGGATCCCGGATTTCCACTCCTGGATCCTGGATTTCCCTTGCCGGATCCCGGTTTCCTGCCCCTGAATCCCGGTTTTCCGTGCCCAGATCCCGGATTTCCCTTGCTGGATCCCGGTTTTCTGCCCCCGGATCCCGGATTTCTGCTCCGGGATCCCAGATTTCCACTCCTGGAACCCGGATTTCTGCCCCCGGATCCCAGATTTCCATGCTCAGATCCCGGTTTTCCACTCATGGATCCCCCGAATCCCAGGAATCCCTGAATCTCAACCATCCCTGGAGTCCCCGAATCCCGGGAATCCCGGGAACCCCTGAATCCCGGGAACCCCCAAATCCTGGGAACCCCCAAATCCCAGGAATCCTGGGAACCCCTGAATGCCTGGACTCCCAAAAGCCGGGAATCCCAGGAACCCCCAAATCCCAGGAATCCTGGGAATTCCCAAATCCTGGGGATCCTGGGACCCCCTCGAATCCCAGGAACCCCCAAATCCCTGGACTCCCTGAATCTTGGGAATCCCGGGAACCCCATAATCCCAGGAATCCCGGGAACTCCCAAATCTTGGGAATCCCAGGAACCCCCAAATCCCGGGAATTCTGTGAACCCCTCGAATCCCAGGAACCCCCAAATCCCAGGAACCCCTGAGTCCTGGGAACCCCCAAATCCCAGGAATCCCAGGAACCCCTGAATCCCGGGAACCCCCAAATCCCGGGAACCCCCAAATCCTGGGAATCCCAGGAACCCCTGAGTCCTGGGAACCCCCAAATCCCAGGAATCCCGTGAATCCTGGGAATCCCGTGAATCCTGGGAATCCCGTGAATCCTGGGAATCCCAGGAACCCCTGAATCCCTGGACTCCCAAAAGCCGGGAATCCCATGAACCCCCAAATCCTGGGAATCCCATGTATCCTGGGAATCCCATGAACCCCCAAATCCCGTGAACCCCCAAATCCCGGGAATCCCGTGAATCCTGGGAATCCCGTGAACCCCCAAATCCCGTGAACCCCCGAATCCCGGGACTCCCATGTATCCTGGGAATCCAGTGAATCCCGGGAATCCCGTGAATCCTGGGAATCCCATGAACCCCCAAATCCAGTGAACGCCCAAATCCCGGGAATCCCGTGAATCCCGTGAACCCCCAAATCCCGGGACTCCCCGAATCCCGGGAATCCCGTGAATCCTGGGAATCCCGTGAACCCCCGAATCCCGTGAACCCCCGAATCCCGGGAACCCCCAAATCCCGTGAACCCCCGAATCCCGGGACTCCCCGAACCCCTCCCCGTCTCTCACCTGCTGCAGGAACNGCAGGACCCAACAGGACCCAGCAGGACCCAACAGGACCCAGAAGGACCCAATGGAACCCAATGGGACCCAACAGAACCCAGCACGACCCAACAGGACCCAGCAGGACCCAACAGGACCCAGCAGGACCCAACAGGACCCAGCAGGACCCAATGGAACCTGGCAGGACCCAGCAGAACCTAACAGGACCCAGCAGGACGCAACAGAACCCAGCAGGACCCAACAGAACCCAGCAGGACCCAATGGAACCTGGCAGGACCCAGCAGGACCCAACAGGACCCAGCAGGACCCAATGGAACCCAATGGGACCCAACAGGACCTGGCAGGACCCAGCAGGACCCAACAGAACCCAACAGGACCCAACAGAACCCAAGGGGACCCAGCAGGACCCAGCAGGACCCAACAGGACCCAATGGAACCTGGCAGGACCCAGCAGAACCTAACAGGACCCAGCAGGACCCAACAGAACCCAGCAGGACCCAGCAGGACCCAACAGGACCCAATGGGACCCAATGGAACCTGGCAGGACCCAGCAGAACCCAACAGGACCCAGCAGGACCCAGCAGGACCCAATGGGATCTGGTGGAACCCAACAGAACCCAACAGGATCAGATGGAACCCAAAGGAACCCCACGGGATCCAGCAGAACCCCAGAGAACCCAACGGAACCCCACGGGATCCAGTGGGATCCAACTGATCCCGAGGAACCCAACAGAACCCAACAGAACCCAACAGGATCCAACGGAACCCAACGGGATCCAACAGAACCCAATGGGATCCAACGGAACCCAACAGGATCCAACGGAACCCAATGGGATCCAGCAGAACCCAACAAAACCCAAGGGGATCCAACAGAACCCAACAGAACCCAATGGGATCCAACAGAACCCAATGGGATCCAACAGAACCCAATGGGATCCAGCAGAACCCAACAGAACCCAACGGGATCCAACAGAACCCAACGGGATCCAACGGAACCCAACGGGATCCAACAGAACCCAACGGGATCCAGCAGAACCCAACGGGATCCAACTGGACCCAAGGGGACCCAACAGAACCCAACGGGATCCAACGGAACCCAACGGGATCCAACAGAACCCAACGGGATCCAACGGAACCCAACGGGACCCAAGGGGATCCAACAGAACCCAACGGGATCCAACAGAACCCAACAGAACCCAACAGAACCCAACGGGATCCAACAGAACCCAACGGGATCCAACGGAACCCAACGGGATCCAGCAGAACCCAACGGGATCCAGCAGAACCCAATGGGATCCAGCAGAACCCAACGGGATCCAGCAGAACCCAACGGGATCCAATGGGATCCAACAGGATCCAGTGGAGCCCAACGGGATCCAACAGAACCCAACGGGATCCAACGGAACCAACGGAACCCAATGGGATCCAACAGAACCCAACAGAACCCAACTGGATCCAACGGAACCCAACAGAACCCAACAGAACCCAATGGGATCCAACAGAACCCAACGGGATCCAGCAGAACCCAACAGAACCCAACGGGATCCAACGGAACCCAACAGAACCCAATGGGATCCAACAGAACCCAACAGAACCCAACGGAACCCAACAGAGCCCAATGGGATCCAGCAGAACCCAACGGGATCCAACAGAACCCAACGGGATCCAACAGAGCCCAACGGGATCCAACAGAGCCCAACGGGATCCAATGGGATCCAACAGAACCCAATGGGATCCAGCAGAACCCAACGGGATCCAGCAGAACCCAACAGAACCCAATGGGATCCAACGGAACCCAACGGGATCCAACAGAACCCAACAGAACCCAACGGGATCCAGCAGAACCCAATGGGATCCAGCAGAACCCAATGGGATCCAGCAGAACCCAACGGGATCCAATGGAACCCAACAGAACCCAATGGGATCCAACGGAACCCAACGGGACCCAACGGGATCCAATGGGATCCAATGGAACCCAAGGGAGGGAAAAATCGGGATTTGGGGCTGGGATTCCAAACTGATCCCGGATTTTTCCCCTCCCGCATCCGAAGGAACGGGAAAAACGGGAATTCTCTGCTCCAGATCGGAATTTTCCCCGATTTTTTCCCTCTTTTCCCACCCTTTTTTCATCCCGGAGCCGAAAAGCGGGAAAAAAACGGGAAGGGGTTGGGAAAAACGGGAATTTTCTGGGAATTTTGTGGGAAAAGGGATGGAATTCCGGTGGGAAAGGGGGAAAATCCCGGGGAATTGGGGAGGGAGGGAATTCTTACCCCGGCACCTTCGAAGAAGGCGCTGGCGGCGTCTCCGGAGTTGTCCAGGAGATCATCGCTGTCGATCTGGAATTAAAAAAATCGGATTGATGGGATTGATCGGGAATTCCGGGATGGGAAAATGGGGAAATGAGGGGAATTGGGAAAAAAAAAATTGGGATTGAAAGAAATGGGGATTAAAAAAAAAATGGGAATAAAAAAATAAAAATTAAAAAAACGGGAATTAATATGGGAATTAAAAATAAAATGGGAATTGAAATCAGAATTTAAAAAATGGGAGTAAAAAAAGGCATTAAAAAAAAATAGGAATAAAAAAATAAGAATTAAAAAAATGGGAATTAATATGGAAATTAAAAAAACTGGGAATGAAAAAAATTTGGAATTGGGGAAAAAAATTGGGATTAAAAAAATGGGAATTAAAAAAATTGAGGAAAAAAATAAACGGAGGGAAAAAAAGGGGAATGAAAAAAATGGGAATTAAAAGAAAGTGGGAATAATAAAATAAGAATTAAAAGAATGGGAATTAATATGGGAGTTAAAAAAATTTGGAATTAAAAAAATCCAGAATGAAAAAAATTTGGAGTTGGGAAAAAAAATTTGGATTAAAAAATGGGAATTAAAAAAAATGAGGAGGAAAAATAAAGGGAGGGGAAAAAAGGGGAATGAAAAAAATGGGAATTAAAAAAAAATGGGAATTAAAAAAAAAATAAGAATTAAAAAAATGGGAATTAATATGGAAATTAAAAATAAAATGGGAATGAAAATGAGAATTAAAAAAATGGGAATTAAAAAACTGGGAATTAAAAAAACAGGGAATAAAAAAATAATTAAAAAAAGGAAGAGGAAAAATAAAGGGAGGGGAAAAATGGGAATTAAAAAAATGGGAATAAAAAAATAAGACTTAAAAAAATGGGAATTAATTTAATTAATTAAAAAAATTGGAATTAAAAAATTTGGAATTGGGGAAAAAAAATTGGGATAAAAAAGGGAATTAAAAAAAAAATGGGAATAAAAAAATGAAAAATTAAAAAAATTCGGAACGAAAAAAATTTGGAATTGGGGGAAAAAAATTGGGATTAAAAAAATGGGAATTAAAAAAAAAAGAGGAGGAAAAATAAAGGGAGGGAAAAAAAGGGGAATGAAAAATATGGGAATTAAAAATAAAATGGGAATTAAAATGAGAATCAAAAAAATGGGAGTAAAAAAATGGGAATTAAAAATGGGAGTTCAAAAAATTTGGAATTAAAAAAATTTGGAATTGGGGAAAAAAAATTTGGATTAAAAAAAATGGGAATTAAAAAAAAAAAATGAGGAGGAAAAAGGGGGATTAAAAAAAAATGGGAATAAAAAAATACGAATTAAAAAAATTTGGAATTAATATGGGAGTTAAAAAAATTTGGAATTGGGAAGAAAAAAGGGGATTAAAAAAATGGGAATTAAAAATATTGAGGAAAAAAATAAAGGGAGGGAAAAAACCAGGAATTAAAAAAAAATTGGAATTAGAAAAAAAATGAGAATAAAAAAGGGGGATTAAAAAAATGGAAATAAAAAAATAAATTAAAAAAATAGGAATTAATATGGGAATTAAAAATAAAATGGGAATTAAAATGAGAATTAAAAAAATGGGAATTAAAAATGGGAGTTCAAAAAATTTGGAATTAAAAAAATTTGGAATTGGGAAAAAAAAAAGAGGATTCAAAAAATGGGAATTAAAAAAATGGGAATAAAAAAATGGGAATTAAAAAAAGAAATGAAGAAAAAAAAGGAATTAAAAAAAAGGGAATTAAAAATAAAATGAGAATTAAAAAGTGGGAATTAAAAAAATGGGAATGAAAAAACGGGAATTAAAAATAGGAACTTAAAAAATGGGATTTTTATGGAAAAAATGGGATTTTTATGGAAAAAATGGGATTTTTATGGAGAAAAATGGGGATTTTTACAAAAAAAATTATTTTTATGGAAAAAAAATGGGATTTTTAAGGAAAAAATAGGATTTTTATGGAGAAAAATGGGATTTATATGGAGAAAATGGGATTTTTATGGGAAAAAATGGGATTTTTAGGAAAAAAAGAAATTTTTATGGAAAAAATGGGATTTTTATGGAAAAAAAAGGGATTTTTATGGAAAAAAAATGGGATTTTTATGGAAAAAATGGGATTTTTATGGAAAAAAATGGGATTTTTATGGAAAAAAATGGGATTTTTATGGAAAAAATGGGATTTTTATGGAAAAAATGGGATTTTTATGGAAAAAAATGGGATTTTTATGGAAAAAAATGGGATTTTTATGGAAAAAATGGGATTTTTATGGAAAAAAAAGGGATTTTTATGGAAAAAATGGGATTTTTATGGAAAAAACTGGGATTTTTATGGAAAAAAAGGAGTTTTTATGAAAAAAAAGGGATTTTTATGGGAAAAATGGGATTTTTATGAAAAAAATGGGATTTTTATGGGAAAAATGGGATTTTTAGGGGAAAAAATGGGATTTTTATGGAGAAAAAGGGATTTTTATGGAGAAAAATGGGAATTTTTATAAAAAAACCTGATTTTTATGGAAAAAAAATGGGATTTTATGGGAAAAAATGGGGATTTTTATGAAAAAAAATTGGGATTTTTATGGAAAAAAGGATTTTTATGGAAAAAAATGGGATTTTTATGGAAAAAAATGGGATTTTTATGGAAAAAATGGGATTTTTATGAAGAAAAGGATTTTTATGGAAAAAAATGGGATTTTTATGGAAAAAAATGGGATTTTTATGGAAAAAATGGGATTTTTATGAAGAAAATGTGATTTTTATGGGAAAAAATGGGATTTTTATGGGAAAAATGGGGATTTTTATGGAAAAAATGGGATTTTTATGGAAAAAATGGGATTTTTATGGAAAAAAATGGGATTTTTATGGAAAAAAATGGGATTTTTAGGGGAAAAAATGGGATTTTTATGGGAAAAATGGGATTTTTATGGAAAAAATGGGATTTTTATGGAAAAAAATGGGATTTTTTTATGGAAAAAATGGGATTTTTATGGAAAAAAATGGGATTTTTATGGGAAAAAAGGGATTTTTATGGAAAAAATGGGATTTTTATAGAAAAAATGGGATTTTTATGGAGAAAATGGGGATTTTTATGGAAAAAATGGGATTTTTAGGGGAAAAAAAGGGATTTTTATGGAAAAAATGGGATTTTTATGGGAAAAATGGGATTTTTAAAAAAATGGGATTTTTAGGGGAAAAAAAGGGATTTTTATGGAAAAAATGGGATTTTTATGGGAAAAATGGGATTTTTATGGAAAAAATGGGATTTTTATGGAAAAAAATGGGATTTTTATGGAGAAAAAAATGGGATTTTTAGGGGAAAAAATGGGATTTTTATGAAAAAAATGGGATTTTTATGGAAAAAAATGGGATTTTTAGGGGAAAAAATGGGATTTTTATGGAAAAAAAGGGATTTTTATGGAAAAAAATGGGATTTTTAGGGGAAAAAATGGGATTTTTATGGAGAAAAAAATGGGATTTTTATTTTTATGGGAAAAATGGGATTTTTATGAAAAAAATGGGATTTTTATGGAAAAAATGGGATTTTTATGGAGAAAATGGGATTTTTTTTTTGGAGGAAAATGAGATTTTTATGGAAAAAATGGGATTTTTATTAAAAAAAAGAGATTTTTATGGAAAAAAAAGGGACTTTTATGGAAAAAAAAGGGATTTTTATGAAGAAAATGTGATTTTTATGGAAAAAAAGGGATTTTTATGGGAAAAAAGGGATTTTGATGGGAATTTGGGATTTGGGGGCTCTCACCTTCTCGGATCCATGCAAGAAATCGTTCAGGGCCTGAGGATCGCTGGGAAAAGAGACGGGAAAAGGGAATTAGGGAGAGAATTCCAACTTTTCCGGGATAATTCCTGATTTTTTGGGGTTTTTCCACCACAATTCCCAATTTTTGGGGTTTTTTCCCATCACAATTCCCGATTTTTGGGGATTTTCCATCACAATTCCCAATTTTTTTGGTTTTTTTTCCCACAATTCCCAATTTTTGGGTTTTTTTTCCACCACAATTCCCAATTTTTTTGGCTTTTTCCACCTCAATTCCCAATTTTTGGGTTTTTTTCCACCACAATTCCCAATTTTTGGGGTTTTTTTTCCACAATTCTCATTTTTTGGGGGGATTTTCCCCACAATTCCCAATTTTTGGGTTTTTTTTCCCCCAATTCCCAACTTTTCTGGTTTTTTCCACCACAATTCCCAATTTTTTGGGTTTTTTCCCACCACAATTCCCAATTTTTGGCGTTTTTTCCACCACAATTCCCAATTTTTTGCCATTTTTTTTCCACAGTTCCCATTTTTTTGGGTTTTTTTCCCACAATTCCCAATTTTTGGGGTTTTTTTCCCACAATTCCCAATTTTTGGGTTTTTTTTCCCCACAATTCCCAATTTTTGGGTTTTTTTCCATCACAATTCCCAAATTTTTGGGTTTTTTTCCACCACAATTCCCAATTTTTTGGGGTTTTTGCCACCACAATTCCCAATTTTTGGGTTTTTTTTCCCACAATTCCCAATTTTTGGGGTTTTTCCACCTCAATTCCCAATTTTTGCCGGTTTTTTTCCACAATTCCCATTTTTTGGGTTTTTTCCCCACAATTCCCAATTTTTGCGGATTTTTCCATCAGAATTCCCAATTTTTTTGTGTTTTCCCCCCCAATTCCTAATTTTTTTTGGTTTTCCCCCACAATTCCCACTTTTTTTGTGTTTTCCCACCACAATTCCCAATTTTTTTGTGTTTTTCCCCACAATTCCCAATTTTTTGGGGATTTTTTCCCCCACAATTCCCAATTTTTGGGGTTTTTTTTCCCACAATTCCCATTTTTTGCCATTTTTTTTTCACAATTCCTAATTTTTTTGATTTTTCCCATCACAATTCCCATTTTTTTTTGTTTTTTTTTCCCACAATTCCCAATTTTTTTGTGTTTTCCCACCACAATTCCCAATTTTTTGGGTTTTTTCCCACCACAATTCCCAATTTTTGGGATTTTTCCCACCACAATTCCCAATTTTTTGGGCTTTTTCCACAATTCCCAAATTTTTTGGTTTTTTCCCCCACAATTCCCAATTTTTTTGTGTTTTTCCCCCACAATTCCCGATTTTTGGGTTTTTTTCCCCCCAATTCCCAACTTTTGGGATTTTTCCCATCACAATTCCCAATTTTTTGGGTTTTTTCCCCACAATTCCCAATTTTTTTGGCTTTTTCCATCACAATTCCCAACTTTTGGGTTTTTTTCCCCCCAATTCCCAACTTTTCTGGTTTTTCCCACCACAATTCCCAATTTTTTAGGGTTTTTCCCCACAATTCCCATTTTTTGGGGGTTTTTACCACCACAATTCCCAATTTTTGGGGTTTTTTTCCCACAATTCCCAACTTTTCTGGTTTTTCCCACCACAATTCCCAATTTTTTAGGGTTTTTCCACCACAATTCCCAATTTTTTGGGTTTTTTCCATCACAATTCCCAATTTTTGGGGTTTTTCCATCACAATTCCCAATTTTTGCAGTTTTTTTCCCACAATTCCCAATTTTTTTTTGATTTTCCCCCCAATTTCCAACTTTTGGGTTCTTTTCCCACCACAATTCCCAATTTTTGGGGTTTTTTTTTCCCACAATTCCCATTTTTTGCCATTTTTTTTTCACAATTCCCACTTTTTTTGTGTTTCCCCCCCAGAATTCCCACTTTTTGGGTTTTTTTCCCCACAATTCCCAATTTTTTTGTGTTTTTCCCCACAATTCCCAATTTTTTTTTGGTTTTTCCCCCACAACTCCCAATTTTTGGGGTTTTTTTTCCCACAATTCCCATTTTTTGCCATTTTTTTTTCACAATTCCCAATTTTTTTTTGGTTTCCCCCCAATTCCCACTTCCCCCTTTTTCCCCCCCTCTCTTTTCCCGCTTTTCCCGTCCCATTCCCGGCCGGAATTCCGGGAATTCCGGACTCACCAGATGACGTCTAACAGGCACCGGCCGTCTTCATCATCCATGTCACCTGCAAGGAGACGATGACGTCACCTTTTCCATGGAAAATTCCGGAAAAAAGCCTCTTCCCAAAGTTTTTTAAGGATTTAAGGGGAAAAATTGGGAAGGGATCCCAAAAAAATGGGGATTTGGGAAGGGATTCTCGAGGAATTCCATTGATTATCAGGGAAGGTTAATTAATGAATGGGTTTGGGGGGGTTAATTAAGGGTTTGGGGGGTTAATTAAGGGTTTGATGGGGTTAATTAAGGGTTTGGGGGGTTAATTAAGGGGTTTGATGGGATTAATGAATGGGTTTGATGGGATTGATTAATGGGTTTAATTAAGGGGTTTAATGGGGTTAATTAAGGGTTTGATGGGATTAATTAAGGGATTTAATGGAATTAATGAATGGATTTAATGGGATTAATAGATGGGTTTAATGGGATTAATTAATGGGCTTAATAGGATTAATTAAGGGGTTTAATGAGGTTAATTAAGGGGTTTAATGGGATTAATTAAGGGGTTTGATGGGATTAATGAAT